TCTCAGGTCTGGTTTTTTTGTTTTGTTTTTGCCACTATCATGCTGATTATATCACAGTACCTTTGTAGTATAATTTCATTTCAGAGATTGTGGTGCCTCCTGCCTTGCCTTTTGTTGCCCAGGAATACCTCTGCTATTTTAGAACTTTTCTGATTCCAAATAAATTTTAAGAATGTTTTCTCTAGATCTGTGAGGTACATTAATGGTATTTTAATTGGGATTACATTGAATCTGTATAACAATTTTGAGAGTATGGATATTTTTCCAATGTTCATCCTTCCTATCCAAAAGCAAGGAATACCTTTTCATTTTCTGAAATCCTCTTCAGTTTCTTTTTTTCAGAGCACTGTAACTTTCACAGTGAAGATCTTTTACTTCCTTTGTTAGATTGATTAAGTATTTTTTGGGACGTTATTATGAAAGGCTTTTGTTATTTTTGTTATTTCTCTGTGTTTCTATCATTTTGTTTAGTGAAATTCTGTACCTTTTTTTACAATATTTTATTCTTTTTCAAAAATTGAAAATAAAAATGAGTGATTTAAATGTAGTGCCCTTATGTACACACTCTTAGATATATAGTTTAATATTAGCCTCATACCATTTGTCTTCCATGAAAAACATTTATACAGTCCCTGTATTTATGTCTTATATTTCAGAAATGTAGCATACTTTTTCTTTATTACCAATGTCTTATATTTCTTAAATGTAGCATAGTTTTTCTTTACTACTAAAGATGTTTTTATTCTATCATGGTTTTAAAAAAGTGACTGATTTTTCTCAGCCATGAATTTTGAAATGTATTCAGTTAGCTTGAACATTGTATTGAACATCAGATATCAGTGATGGGCACTTTAAATAAAATACAGAAAAATGATCATCATAGTTATCCTTTTATTCAAAAAGGATGATTACTTGTAAATATGATGAGACATGCAATTGGAGTAATAAATTGGGGAGAGAATTTTTGCTTTCAATGCAGGAGAAAGAGATCTAATCATACAGATGATTCATACAGTGCTTCACTCTAATGTTCATAGCAACTGAGTGTGTCAAGTTCTTCAAAGAAAATGAAAGCCTAAGTACAACTGGTCAAGTGTGAAACCCAAGATTGGTTAGATCTCCTCTGGCAAGAGTTACACCCTAACTCCTCTCCTTTGTGCACTGCAGTAATTGTTCTCAATTTGCTGTTAGGTCAATACCTCATTTATAATTCATCACGAACAGTGATGTTTGAAAAGGGGGTATTTTACACATATCTTGGTAACTGTTGTTCCTTTGATTTTGAATTGATTTCAATAGTGAAAATGAAAAAGTCTGCAATATGTGTATAGATCCTTGGCCAAAATTTGAAGAATGAGGTGTGGGTGAAGATGAAGAATAGAATGGCAGTATATCTTAAAACTACATAATATGCACAATTTTTTATAGTAGGTAAAAAGGTGTCAGTACATTTGCGCCAAACTATGTCACTTGACTTTATTCATTCGAATTTTAAATTTCTGTGTCTACCACATTGTGAATAGGTTATGGTATATAAGCAAAGACTGTACTAGTGATAGTTTGGTGTTTAATGAAAGCTAGTTACAAATCCCTTGGCAAGGTGAAATTTTTGCTAATTGAAAATTATATTTTATTTAATATGTTCTAAAATTTCAGACTTAAAAAAAAGGTTAGGTCAAACTTTGACTTTAAGGTAATTGCTAAGTTGGTTTTAATAAAGTTTAAATTGCTATATTTAGTAATTAAATTTATATACATATTAAACATATACATATGCATACCGACAGCAACGTGTTGCTAGTTTATAATAGCGTAATTGAATCAATCATCATTAGCACATTTCAGTTCACAGATAATCACAATAAATAACTCTCAAGTGCATTAATAATTTAAACATAAATGAAAAAATTGTTCAAAATATTCAAAATTTAGGCAAATCATTAAATACTTTATAAGACTACTGCAAATAATTTCTTCAGTGTATAAAACATATACTGTATATGTAAATATACATATATGCAGAATTATTTATCTAGTGTTTTCCTGAACTTTAAATTTCTCACCAGTTACATAGAAAATGTATAATACAGAACCATATATATGTTAAATGTTATTTTAGATGTATAGTTTGAATTTTATCTTGAAGTTTTCATTTCTTCGAATTCTTGTCAAGTTAACTTGTAGTTCTTTATACTAAAAAACTTATAAATAAATTATAGAACATTTAGTTGATTCATGTTACAAATCTGGGGAAAACTATGATTAAAAAGCTAATAAAAATTTAATTAACTTTCAAAAATTTTATTCTTAGGGAAAAATCATTTTATTATTGTTATCATTAGTGTGAAAATGCCAAAATATAATATAGCAATATTCATCTCAGGTTTATTCAAAATAAACCATTTGATGTATTAAGTTACATTTGGATACCACTTACCCCTTGAATACTTTGTCAAAGAGGAATTTTCTTCCTCTCTTCTTAAGCCTCTGCCACTACAACTTTGTGTCAAAAAGCCAATCAATTCTGTCAGCGACTAAGACGGTGCTTAAGAAATTGAAAACATTTCTGCTGGCAGGTTCACTATTCATTTTTGACACAGGCTGGTACAATATTGAGCACTTTAATTTATTGAAGTCACTATTTGGAAAACAAAACCCATCCATTCTTCTGTTTCAACATTTCTTTATGTTTGGACACAGTTCATAGCTTTTCAATAAAACATTGCACATTAATCCTTTTAACTGCAATATAAATGATAGGGAAAACTGTAAACTAATTTGAATTCAAGACTCATTTTTAACATTTCCAGAAGTTGTGAGGTATCAGACTATGAGCATCTTTAATGTGAGTTAAAGTGAATTTTTGTTTTGTCTTACTTGACAACATCGGGCACATTCAGGATAGTATGGCCAGATACTGTTTTATTTTATTTGATCTTCACAATTTAGGTATTTTTGGATAAGATTTAAAATATACCTGACTATTTTTTCCTTGTTTTCTTCTTTTGACTAGCTTTACTTATTTCTTATGAAAGTTGCTACCTACTTGTTTTTTTGCAAAGGATGAGGTGACACCTGTACATGGACTTGTCATTTGAATTGAGTTAATGCTAAGATAGTGCGTGTCTGTAATCCCAGCACTTGGGAGGCTGAAAAACAGGAAGGATAACCACAAGTCTGATCTGTGTAGTGAGACCCTGTAGACCCGGTACTAAAAAAAAAAAAAAATATGGTCAGGAGCTGAGGGTAGTTCAGTTATCTCATAAAGAGCTACAGTTCAAAGTAAAGTACCCAGGCCCTTAAGTGCAAAGGACTAGAAGTAGAAGAATGTGTGAGATGCAAGAATAATTTTTAGGGTGCTGTAAGAGAAGAAGTTTTCTGAGTGATTTCAATATATAGTGTTGAAAATTAGGATTTACCTTATTGTACATTGATTAGAGGTACATGGGCACAGTTAAACTGACATAATGGTAAAACATCTGGTGCATCCTATTTATTTATTTGTTAATGCATTTAGTACAGGGTCTATAGGGTCTCACTACACAGATTGCACTCATAGTGATCCTCCTGTTTTCAGCATTCTGAGCACTGGGATTGCAGATGTGTACTACAATGCCCAGTCTTGATCGCCATCTCAGCATGCCTCGGAGACAGGGCCAGCATGGCATGTGGTGCTGGGGATCGAAACCTGGCACGTCCTATTTAGTGGATTTTATTTTGTCTTTTTCTAAAGAACTAGTGTACAAAAATATTTTTATTACGCCTTTCTATTTATGAATAAAATTATGAAAATCTCAGTTTTGCAAAGCATATTGTGAACTTCATTTCAATTATAACTGGAGTGTTTTATAAAAGGCTTAATTTGAAATTGTCCAGTCTTATGCTTATTAAATCATGTGACATTAATAATCTTTTATTGCAATGTAATACTTGAGTCATATACTATGTACTCTACTATATTTGGTTTTATTAACACCATGAAGTATAATATGATGGGATTTTAATTAATTTTATCTACGCATATTGCAAATTACATGTGGTACATTTAGGCAGTACAAACATATTAGGTGCTTTTGTCTTAAAAACGTTGTAATGCATACATTACATACTATATGCATTGCAGATATTCTTGTAAATTAAAATAATAGAGAAATATCTGCTGTTATTGCTGCCCATACCTTCTTTGAATGCACACTGGATCTTCCTAACAGAGTCTAGAATATCCAAAGATGAAGCCTCAGTCTATTAAATTTGTATTCTATGCATTCCCAAAGTACAAAATTCTAGCTGTATATTACTCCCTTGTGGAGGACCCATAGTAAATCTCTGTATCACCCATAGCTGAAGTGATTCTAAACTTTTGGTGTGTGATTTTTTTGAGTATAATTTTACAGTGTCCACTTCTCATAACATAAGAATTATAATTACATTTTTTACATCTATCCCAAGAACTTCTAACATGGAAGACCACATTATTTGAATAGCATGGTATTACCTACAGGCAGAAAACCACACTGTCCTGTGCTAGCTGTATTTCTTTATGGATGGGCATGGGAAATTTTCAACCTTCATTTGAACATTTGGATTTTATTTTGGCTATTCAGGAAGTCATCAGCATACCCTCCCCCAGAGTGGTTGAAAAATCCATCTTTGGAAATACACTTACTGGTTTTCATTGTTTTTTATACATCATTTATCTAACCCAGCCTGAAGACGTTACCTTTTCTTATTTAGAGGTTGAGAAAGAAGCAGCCTTACCACTACTGGGAAGCCTGAGAAATAATGATTATGTTCAATTCTACCAGAAAAAAACAGTCTTATGTTTTGAAATGAATTAATAGATAATAATCAAGTATTATCGAAAAGAAGCACAAAACACAATTTTTCATAGAAGCTTCCTTCTTCTGCTTATATATCTTCTTTTAGCTACAAAAAAGAATAAAAAATAATGGTTTAAAACATCCAATGATGCATTTTAACTTATAAAAGTTCTCTTTTAACCCTCCTACAAAGGCATGTCTTGGCTTCCTTTTCTTTGGACACATTAGAATTGGAGGCAAAAAAAATGTTGATTTGGAGACATCAGGGCCAACCTGCTCTCCACAGCCTCCTAAAATTACAAAAAAAAAAAAAAAAAGTTTTCTTGTATTTAATTCAAAATCAACTGAAATAGGATAGAATCATATAAAGTGAAATTTAACCTGCTGCTATTTGCATAGTTTATATTTCTACATACATACTTTGATTTAAGGAATTTGTAAGATACATATTGTTATATCCCAACAGATATATGTAAGTATAATTTTGTAGAAAGCAATTATTTCTCTAATAATAAAACTACTTTAAACACACTTTTCCATTAAAGATGTGCATAAAAAACATTGTTATGATCAAGGGACTGTGAATTCAGATATGGTTATTCCATATGAACACTAAGTCTTTGAAAAACATGTAGTTAGTATAATGCGCTACATCCATGGCTCCCAAAGCGAGTCTCCAAAGCAGCAGCCTCAGTGTTACACTGAGATTTCTAAGAAGAGAGATGTCCTGAACCTCACTTTAGGTCTACTGAACCAGAAGCTGCAGACGTAGCCCATTGCATCCTTTATCAAGCTCTCCAGGTGATGTTGATGCGTATTTCGGCTTGAGATCTGATTTGCATAAATGGAAACACCATTTGTGATAGGACCTTGTGACCAGTTGTGCCATAAGAAAGCAAGACAGTTCTCTAGTGAATGATGTCTCCTTAATGATACAGAAAAAATTCTTCATTAAGAAAACAATCAAGTGATCCAACAAAAGCTGAGAATGCACAGCAGTGTGAAAACCACAAGAGGCAAAGGGAACCGAGATTAAAGTCAGGTGTTAATCAGAGAACTGGCAATTGCATTGTCTCCCTACACACAACAGATTGTGAGCCATGAACAAAAACCCAAAAAGACAAATAGGAAAGAAAAAAATCCCCGCTTTTCCTTTGTGAGAGCATCTTCCTGCTTAGTATTCTTGGTGACTATTCATCTGTTTCCTTCTTGTCAACATGCTGACAACCAGCACCAAGCCACACTTATTCCTGTTTCCTTGTTTATCGCCTTTGCTTTTCATTCTAAAGCCTTCTTTGTCCAAAATCAGAGTTGTAGATTCTAAGAAAATTACCTGTCACTGAAGTGAAGAATTTCAAAAAAATACATATTCCACAATTCAAAGATACATAATATTTGGTAAACCCTCTGAAAATATGCATTGTTTTTTTCAACTTTGATTTTAAAAGTCTTTTGACATGACACGACTGACAAAGATACAGTGATACATAAAAATATGAATAAAACATAATTAATGCCAAGAAACATAATGATATTTTTCCCTTTTTGTTGCTGTTATTCATCTTTCTCAATGTCCTCTTTCTGTCTTTCTACACACTTGCTTCTGGTAGGTAGAGACACTAGCTTCACCTTGTGTCTGTTGTTCCTCTTTCAAACTTTCTACTTCAATATCTGAAATATAAACTGCTGCTATTTGCATAGTTTATATTTCTACATACATACTTTGATTTAAGGAATTTGTAAGATACGTATTGTTATATTCCAACAGATACATGTAAGTATAATTTTGTAGAAAACAATTATTTCTCTAATAATAATATTATTTTAAACACACTTTTCTATCAAAGATGTGCCTAAAAAACATTGTCATGAACAAGAGACTGTGAATTCACATATGGTTGTTTCATAGGAACATGGAATATGTTCATATCTTCACCAAATCTCAAGAGATTTGAAATCTGAGAATCTCAATGAGATCCTTTTTTGGTATATTTCATTTACTTATTCATGTATTAAGTTTTTATTTCTCTAGGTTCATTTATGCAAACATTTTTCTTTTATCTGCATCTCTATCACTTTCTGTGGCAGGGCACTCCCTTTATGCTGGGTCTTACTTAATCATTTTTTTATTTATCCTTCCTTAGAAAATTATCTTTTCTTTTGTTTTTCCTTTTCTTTTCTTCTCAAACAGTCTCACTGTGTAGTTCAGGCTGGACTCGATCTTCCTTATGTACCCCAAGGTGACCTCAAATCTTGGCAATCCTTCCTCAGCCTTCCAAGGGCTGGGATTGCAAGCATGTGTCACCATGCCTGGTGAAAATTCTGTCTCTTTTTAATTTTCTCCTTTCTATTCTTTTTCAATAAAGTAGCCAAACTCTAAGCAAAATGTATATTGCGTGCAAGATTCTCAGAACATACTGCTCACAGCAGAGTAAATAAAGCAAGATTCTTGCCTACGAAGAAGGCAACAAGGTCAGGGAATTCCACTTGTGCTTCTAAAATGAATCACATCCATCATCATCATCATCTACTTCTCCTCCTCCTCCTCCTCCCCCCCTTCCTTGTCCTCATCCTCTTCCTCCTCCTCCTTCTTCTTTTGGTAGAGGGTCTCACTACACAGCTCAGACTTGTAATGATCCTCCTATTTTCAGCCTCTCCAGCACTGAAATTACAGGCATACACCACCATACCTGGACTCAGTAGCAAGCTCAGCACGCCCAGGGGTGGAGCCAGTGCAGCATGTGGTACAGGGTATCAAACCCAGTTCCCTGCATTTGCCTAAGCAGGCTCTTAGTTCACTGAGCCATCTTGCTGACCTTGGATGGCCTTCTAGCTTCATAACACAGAGACATATTTGGTCATGAATGTTCTGCTTCTTCCTTCCTTTCTAGTCAAGCCCCATACTTCACTAGGTGAATCAAGTTGTTGTAAAGTTGGATGCTTCCTATTCTATTTTTGGTTGTCAGAAGGAAGGCCCATCTTCTTTCTTGTGCTGTACTGATTTATATGTTTAGTGCCTGGCTCAAAAGTGTGGAACCCAACTAATTTACATTTTTCCACCAATGCTCTTGATAACATTTTGTCCCATGCTCTGTGTCCCAAGCACTTATTATTCAAATGGGCTTGTTTCCTTGACTTTTATTTTCTTAGATTTTGAAGGAAGGATCTATGATTCCCAAGGTCATGTATCTGGTATGTATGTATGTATGTATGTATGTATGTATGTATTTATTTATTTATTTTACGGTACTTGGGATTGAACTCAGGACCCTGCGCTTGCTAGGCAAGCACTTATTCTACTGAGCTATCTCTCCAGGCCATGTATCTAGTCTATAGCAGAAATTCTCGAAAGCCGTTTTGCTAAAAGAAAGAGACCAATGAGTGAATCCCTAGTATTGCTTGCTATGACAATTGAAGGAGCCTGGGAAGTTAGGTCAGCAGTGTAAGTGCCTGCTTGGCAAGTACAAAGACCTGAGTTCAATCTTGGTACTACTGCATGCCATGCTGGCCCTTGGAACCTCGGGTACACTATGAGGCTCTGAAACCAGGCGTGGTTGTGCACACCACTAAGCCCAGTGCTGGAGAGGCTGTGACAGGAGGATCACTACAAGTTGGAGCTGTGTAGTAAGACCCTGTATCCAGTAAATAAATAAGTAAATTTTTTAAAAAAAAGAAAATTGAAGGACTATTTGCCATTCTTTATTTCTAGCCACTCTATCATTCTGCCTTTTGACGCTGAGGTACTGCATGTGTTGCTGGGGTGCAGTCTGCATGAGCCCATTCGTTCCCATTTAGCTGTGCATCTTTTACTGTTTCCATATATACAAGGACATTGAGACAGCAATGTGCTTTATACTGAGTGTATATATGTTCATGTCTTCATTTTCTTTATCTCTTCCAGTGCGCATACCATGTATATTGCTGAACTAAACAGAATCCAAGGGCTGGCCAAATAGCTCAGCAGATTAAAGTGCCTGCAAGCAGACACAGGGGTTGGGGTTCAATCTCCAGGCCTGCAGTGCCGGCCCTGCCCCCAGGGCATGCTGAGATGGCAATTGAGACTGGGCGTGGTGGTGCATGCCTGTAATCCCAGCTCTTGGGAGGCTGTAAGCAGGTGGATTACTGCAAATCGATCTAGTAGTGAGACCCTGAACACCCTGTAGACCCTTCTCTAAAATACCAAAAAAAAAAAAAAAAAAAAAACACCCAAAAAACAGATAAACAGAATCCAAATATTCATGGGATCCTTCTAAAATACTAATTTTGAGGAATAGTATGCATTACTTTGACAAAAAATCCAAAAAAGCTTGCTTCAATTTCTTTAAAATAGCTCATTAAGAAGTGAGCATTTTATTTCTTGGATCTTTCATGCATGAAATATAATAACCACAATAAAATATATACCACAAAAATCTGCTTGTCAGGTGGCATTAAAGTGTGATTTCTGCTATTAGCCCAATACCAGATTCCACAACAGATTACGGGATTTTTTTTTAACCAACTCTAGATGGTTCCCTGAGTTTCACAGAATGAATTTCACTCCAGAAGATAGAATGAAAGACTTGGATTTAGGTTTTTGCCCACTTCTCTTCATAGATCAGCAACCGAAGTTTAAGAACAGTTGGGAAATGGGAAGCAATCAGAAAGAATTATGTTCTTGCTGCACTTTCAGCGTAAGCATTTGGTAAAACTACTTGGAAACCTGGCTCCAAAAACTGCAGGTTGTGTTTCATTTATTCTCACTGAAACATGAAAAGCTTATTCCACTGTGAAAGAATCAGAGGTACATGCTCTTGCATGCCTATTGTCACTGCTGTGATTGTCATAATACTTTTTCTTAATCACTCCTAGTTTGCAAAAGGCTAAACAGAAGACATGAGATCAAATCTGTTTCCTTAGGGAGTTCAAATTCATAATAGGAATATAAATACACACAAAAGTCATATACAAACAAAGGGGGTTATGCCCTTTGCAGAGTTCTCATATAGATAAAAAGTTTGTGCATGGTGTTTACTATTTTCAAATTTTATAGAGTTTTTTCTATTTCTTTCTTTTGAGCAAAGATATAACAACAGATTGATGAATAGTCACTATGCCATAAAAGTGAAAGCATACACACTATCGTAAAGAAAATCAGGATGATAATAATGACAATAATTATCAATTTTATTTTATTGAGCATCTCTAAATAAGGTATTTAGGACCAGCCAAATAGCTCAGCGGATTAAAGCTTCTGCAAGCAGGCTCAGGAGTCGGGGGTTTGATCCCTGGGCCTGCCCTGCCAGCACCGCCTCCGGGGCACACTG